TGCTCTGAGGCCCTGAGCGGGGGCAGCAGGAGCGGCTGCTGGCAGCCCCCACCCCGCCCCAGATGCCTGGGTGAAAGCAAGAGGGGGTGGCGGGGAGCCTCAGCCCATTCGGACACACCGTGACCCGCGCCTTCCGCAGCAGTGGTGTCAAATTCTGCCGTTCGGGCAGCCATTAGTGTGCGCGCCGCCCGCCACACGGAACCGGCGACAGAAGGCACAGCCTTCCCCGCTCCCCTCCCGGTGCTCAGACACTAGCGGCTCTAATGAGAAATGAGAGCTGAGGGGAGAGAGGTGGGGGGCAGGCCGCATCCGCGAGGGCGGTGGCGGATCTCGGAGGCTGACCCATTGCCTTTGGAGGTCAGGGGCCTCGTGGACCAGCCCCCTGCAATGCCACTTGAATTCGCCACTGCTCCCTGCGTCCGCACTCCTCCCGCATTGCTCTTGAAGGGGATCTGTCAGCGCGGCCCTGTAGCTGCTCTCTTTTCTTCTCTTTCTTCCCCGGGGCTTCCTCGGTCCCTTCACCCGGTGCACTTTTTAGAGCCATAACTACCCCAGTCCAGCCTTCTTCAAAAAGACAAGCGGAGACAGCCCGAGTGAGAGAGAGCAGGTGGGCGTGCATCGCTCCAAGCCTCCCCTGGCCCCGGCTTCCTGACTGCGCTGTGAGTTATTTAGCCAACAATAGATGCTTGTGAATATATATTTTAAGAGCGTGTATTTATTAACAGCCTGCAAAGGGGGAGGCTAGGAGATATAGATCGAAAGCGCAATGAGTTAAAAGGGACAACTTGAGGAGCAGAAAGAGATGTTGAGCATAGAATTGTAAAGGACATTTTAATGCACAATCGAAGGTTCTTGAGATATTTTCCAAGTAGACAGGAGGTAAAAGAAAATCGGCCCATTACAAGCTGAGATGGGGTGTTGGTGACAGGGGGATGGAGCAATGGCTGACGGGCTCCGCTCCTACAGGAGGAAGGTGAGGCCAGAGAGCCCGGCTGGGAGCGGAACCAGAAGGCAGGTGTCACAGCCAGGTCAGGAGGCCTCACAGTAGAGTTGGCCAGGACCCCGGACACTCGCCCCTGGTCCATCAGAGAATGTGCATAGAGAAAGGCTGGCCTCCTCTAGGCCAGCGTTGAGTAGGAACCTGAGGAGCTGGGTCCCAGAGGTGGGGACAGCCTGGGGTGGTGGGGACAGTACCAGGAAGGATTAGCTGGGAGCTCCGAGGCCCTGAGGTCCCAGCCGGCTCCAGAGAGCCTGCCCCCAGCAAACGCTCTCTCTGATGCAGGGCCTGCAGCTCGTCCTCCAAGAAGCCTTCCTGCCCTCCTGCCCCCTGAAGCCTGCCAACAGGCCTTCTGGAGCCCCATGGGCCGTGGTGGCAGAGTGCTGAGTGATTAGTTAGGTGATGAGTAAACATTTGCTAAATGGGCTTCCTGGCTCCCTGGTAATGAACAGCCCTAGCAGGAGAGAAAAGGGGGGAGACACAGTTTGGGAGGCTCGGGGATAGTCAGCCAGAGCGGGCACATTAAAGGTGGTCCAGGGGTGTCTGGGCAGCTGTGCTTGGAAGCAGGGAGAGGGCTGAGGGCTGAGGGCTGAGCCCTCTGAGGAGGGGAAGGAGGGAGCGCGGGGAGCCGGTGTGGGACACTTCCGGAGCTTGGAAGCAGCAGGTGTCTGGGGATGGGACTCGGGCCCAGGCAGGTTTCCAGGGAGCGCTCCGGCTTGCTGGCATGAGGAAAGGATCTGGCTGAGCAGAAGAGGAAAGTTGCGATGATGAAACTCACTGTTGAGGAACATTGGCAAGCATGGCATTGGTGGGAACCCTGTGCTTGGCGAGGGAGTGGGGTGCGGGGTAGGAAAGAGGACCTCAAGTGGGGGACACACACCTCCACTTCCAGAGTAGAGTCCAAGTCCCTCTGTCGGCTCCCCAGGCCTCCCCCTTGCCAGACCCGCCTCCTGCACCTCCCCAAACAGCATTCTCCGTCCTCCACTTACAGCTCTTGGCTGATACCCCAAATGCGGTGCTATTGTATGGCTCCAGCCCTCTGCCCACGTTCTTCTCTGGCCACCTCATCCTCTAAGAGCCATAGAGTGTCACCTCTTCCTGGAAGCCCTCCCTGAATGCCCCCGCCCCAGGTGAGTTCCTCACTGCAGGGCGTAGAGTGGGGAGGCACTAACAGAGGCAGCAATCCCACACTGGTTGCACCAATCCCATACTTGTTTCCACATTTAGGCTCTGAGCTCCTTGAAGGAGAGCCAAGTATTCTCAGTTTTAGGCCACCAGAGCAGTTTTAATACCAATGGCTGGCACACATAGGCCCTTGATCAGCACTTGTTGAATGAAGAGGAGGGAGCCAGCAGAGCTCTGGGGTCATGGGAGGAGCTCGTGTAGAGAGACTCAGACCACCAGTGGCCACCCAGCCCCTCCTGCAGATCACCCCTCAGAGTGGAGGGCTGTGTGGCTGGAGGGGAGGGGGGGAGGAGATGGCTTTATCCCAGGGCCTAGGGCAAGTGCTGAGTGAAGATGGCTGAAGGGTTGGCCCCACAGGAACCAAGGCGTGCCCTCGGCCACTGGGAGGAGGACAGAATTCCAGAGGCAGGAACCCACACCTGCCTGCCCTGAACCACCCAGGAGGGGTGCTGGGTCCGGTGAATACAGGGGCCTCCCCTTAGCCCTTGATGTGTCCACTTGCTCTGATGTTGTGGGCAATGGTGCTGTAACTGGGTAGCATGGAACCTGCTGAGGGACCATGATGTCATCCACAGTGGAACTGCTTTCATTCCTTCTACCTGTTAGAGGAAGCCGCTAACCGTACACCTGGCGTCCTGGGCCCCCTTGCCTTGCCTCTAATAACCGTCGGCCACCAGAGACCGCGCTGTGCTTGACAGAAGCGGATCAGTTATAGAACATTAGCATTTCTCACTCTGACATTCCACTGCCATATTACAGGGACTTACTCAGTCTTTTTAAAAAAATTTAATAAAGTACTCGGACTCTTGATTTTCCCACTGAGGGCTTTGCTATCTAAAGTTGGAAATGAAATCAACAACCCAACAACATCCTTGGGTGCTGAGGGACAGCCAAGCTTTGGCACAGGCCTGCATCAGCGCAGCAGGCCATCGGGAGCAACCCCAGGCCAAAGGCAATCTGTTCTGCCCTTGGTGGTGTCCCTTTAGTGTCCATTTCCAGCCGTGTACGGAAGAGGACTGATCCAGACTTGAAAGCACAGCCCTGCCCTGGCCGGTGCGGCTCAGCTGACTGGAGGGTCGTCCCATACATCGAAAGGTTGCCGGTTCGAATCCCGGTCAGGACACATACCTAGGTTGTGGGTTCAAGCCCCAGTGGGGACGCATATGGGAGGCACCATTTGATGTTTCTCTCATATATCTCTTTCTCACCCCCCCCCCACCTCCCTCTCTTTAAAATCAGTAACACATATCCTTGGGGGAGGATCTTAAAAACAAACAAACGCAGCCCTCCTCCCTCTACCTGAGAACTCGCTCACTGCTGTCTGGCGTGGCCCCTGGGACTCCTGGAAATCCCTCGGGCCCCAGGAACGGGCAGCTCCTTTTCAGCCACCCCCCCACCCCCCCTAAGAATCAATAGCTCAGCTTCTGTGGGTGAGGCGCTTGGGAACAGGCCCGGGGAAGGAGCCAGCTATGCTGCTTCTCGGGAAAGACACAGTGATATCGCAGCCCAGAGCATGGGAAGTGAGACATGTTCTGTGCGGGCGAGAAAAGAAACTATGGGACGAAGAAATATTGTGTGTGTGTTTGTGGTGTGTGTGTGTGTGTACACCCATGTGCTCAGCAACCCCAATGAGTCAGCGCTGCCCCCGCCCCCGTAGGTTTTCTCTCCCATCAAAATTTGTGTGTGTCTAGAGCGGTGCCCAGGGGGGGTGTCGTAGCCCAAAAGCTGTGGACTCTCTCTCTGTCGTAGTATGGCGGGGTTACAAAA